TAGTAAATGCAACCATATGCCCAACTGGAGTGAGATCCAAGAGAGCGAGAGGGGCTGAATGACAAGTGACCTCAAGAAACACCCTATAGAAATGCTTTGGCACAAACAGAAACTTGAATATAGCAACCCAGCTGGCTCCACATCACATACTGCGACTATAGCCTCTCTGTCCATTCATTGTAACCACTTAGGCAGCATGTTGCATGCAGCTACAAAGGTTGGAAAACACAAAACAGGCCGACTGGATGACTTGCAAGGAACAGTGGAAATTAATTAATCCTGATTACTCTTTCTGCTCCGGGTTCTCCCGTGGGAACGCAGCTGGGTCTAACTGACTAAGCTCCCTCGCCAGCTGCAGTGACATGGAGCGTAAACAAACACATCAATGCATGGGGAAAATTACAAACATGTTTCAATGCCTGTGACAAAGAAAAGACAGATTAATAGACAGACTCAATCCAAACTGTACATATGTGTGCATGCATCAGGTGGAAAGAAAGCTAGGAAATGACTGAGCTGTGTACGTCTGTGGTTGTGGTCAATAAATGAGAAGTGTTCCAAGAGTGAGGGGAACAAAAAAATACACTCCATCTGACATCACCAAGGTTAATAAATGCCATTCGCTCAGGCTAGAGTAAACTGAAGTGAGATTACACCCATAAAGCTGTCATTTTAGAAAGTGAGAGAAAGAAACTGATGACTATGGGGGCAAAAGTGAATATGGGAGAGGGGAAAATATGCTAATTAGAGCTATTATAATCAATATTTCTATAATGGCAATGTATCAGTGACAATTTTAAAACAATGTGACAGTGTCAGACAAGTTGCTTGTAGCCATGAACCTTTCGAGAACCATCCTTTTATTGTGTAGCTCACCTTGGCTTTATTGAGCGTTTGTTTAAGTGTCTGGCCCACAGCTTTACCACTCTGGTTCATTCTCACCACTTTCAGAGCATCGCTGTAGGCAGCAGCAGACAACTATTTCCACCAAAAAACTCAGGAATCCCAGTGTACACTACCTGCTCAGCACCAAACAGCAGAGGTACACAGAGGGGAATGGATTTTGACCTTGATGGCTATGACTTGGTATGCACAAACAGAGAGAATAAGATGAGAGGTGGTGTGGCCTTGTACATAGATAAAAACTTTTGTTATAAGAAAGTAGACAAAATGTCTAGGGTGGTGGATAATTTGCTGGAGTGTGTGACTGTAGAAATACTCGTGGAAAAAAAGAAAAATGTTGTAATAAGCTGTATCTACAGAGCGCCTGGAGCCAGCATAGAAAAATGTAATGACTGGATGGAAGAAAATTACTTGACAATAAGTCATAAATTAATGTTCATATGTGGTGACTTCAATATAGATTTGTTAAATCCTAACAAGCACACAGGAACTGAGGAGTTTATTAACACATTATATAGATGCAGTTTATACCCAAAAATTACAAAACCAAGTAGAGTAACAACCCAGCATGCAACACTAATAGATAATATATTTACTAATGATATTGACAGCAAAATGACAAGTGGATTACTTATAAATGATATT